CATTGGGAAGCTCTTGATACTAGTTCTTGTGGGGTAACGAATCTTGATCATCGCACAATACAACTAGCAGCCATCGCGAGTTTATGCGGTAAAACACAAAAGACACAGTGCATAATGTGCTTTGCGAGAGGTAGTAGGAAATGGCGTGCACATTTAGGTCCCTTTGGAATTTTTAAGTCCACCCTTAGTTACAGTGAAAAGCTCGATTGACTGTAAAATAAGAGGTTTTCACTTTTTCTCCCTCGTCCACTTTCTAGGCGAGACTGCGCAATGAGAGATGAGTGCTACGTGGTATGATACTAGGAGCTTGGGTGGAATATGAGTTGAAAATCTCAATCCAGCGGTTTATCCGCAGTAGCTTTGTGTCAGTGGTTCCCCGACTGAGTAGGGCAGTTAGAGCGGTGTGAGCTATATGTAGTATAAAGCTCCGACCAAGAAGGGCCCAGAAACAAGCGAATGATGTTTCAACAACGGAGTGAGAAACTTTTGAGGGGTAGTTTTGTAGATGTATATGAAAGATCTGTTCCTAAGCCAATATGTGACGCATCTGTCTACGCAAATATAGGAAATGCTTCATTAAAAGATGGTCAACATTAGGGTACAGATGCGGCGTCTATTACCTTTTTCAAAGAGACTGCTGTGCAGCCCCAGCCAAAGGTAACCTTCGCCTTTATCAGCTTCCTTAAGCGCAGCGCTACGGCAGCAAAATCGGGCACTCAGAGTAACTTGTATGGGTATATGTCATCAACTTCTTCCGAGCTGCATGAGTGAACCTGAAGCTCATTGGCAAGAAATTGCACTGGAACACATTGCTCGATGCCAGAAAAACCGTCGGTCGCCTCGGTTCTGGTGACAATAGCATGTGAAAAAATGCTTTCTTCAAATCTGATTTCGAGAACTATCCTGCGCTGAGTAACTTGAACAACAACTTATCAAAGGTAGGAAAAACGAATTTTTCGACGACAACCTGGGAATATCACTCCTACATATCATTGTATATGCGCCAAGTATCGTCTCTTCGGGGCGGTGACCATACCAGAAGAAATAGCTGGCTTTACCAGATCACTGGATGTCATCCCCCGCATTTTTACCAACAGCTCACATTTCACCAGTGAGATGGGAAACGGCCTGGTATAACGTGTAAGAATGTGATGAGCAGCGAATGGAATCCGACCAATTTTCCCAATGAACAGTTGGGATATGGACTTTGATCGCTGACGCACTGGGTACCAAGATGCGCTTTTGATGAAATAATGGTATATAATGAATAAGAAATCAAAAGACTAACAGGTCCCGTAATACTGTGGCAATGAAGTAGCAAAATAAGCGAATTGTATCAACAAAGCTGAGGGTGAACTCGTGAACTCACCGAGACGTTCGCATGGTAATAACTTTAAATCCACCTGGTTTGAATTTGAAAACATGGTTTGGTTGCGTTATATGGAGAACTGTAAATACCGTAGTGAGCCATTAAGTAAACTGGGGTAGGTGAAATTAGGCGTGGAGGGCGTTCCAAGGCTGGCGTGCTCAGAGAGGAGAATTTCGAAGGCTTTCCAGCTGACCGTAATGCGTGACCAAGTTTATAGTTAGTGATAAAGTTCCAGGAGAGAGCGACAAATTTGGCAGGGATTCTCATTATTTGCTAAGTTGTAGAACAGATGGAGGAAGCTCTTAACAGTTTTTACCTCATTTATGGGGGAATCTCGAGTGAAACGTGTTCGTGCTTATGTCAAGGATGCGACGCCGTATTCAACGTGGGGTCACAAGTAGACGTTGAGAATATGCGGAAAGAGAGGAGCGCACTGTACAGAGGGTTGACACATAAGTTGCTGCTTTTCGACACCTACTCAGATTGCTTCGAGCAACCGAGGTCGGCTTGAACCATTACCCCGTGAGCGCGCTCCTGGATTTCCGGAAGGTATGTTCTCCAACTTTGTATACACATCGTGTGTTACAGCGTACATTAAAAGCCTCCCTAATCTATCAAACTTCATAGGCTGTAAATATGCTGATGACGTCGTCCCGGGTTGCATACTCCCATTTAACGACGCTTTGAAAACTTAACGAGGGTTAAGCGAATTAGTGATTTGGTCCAGCTTCCGGTCGCTATCAACGCTACCAGGTGTTGTGACGTAATGTTCTGTTTTCTACAGCCCAACAGACTGCGGTCCCTTGTACATAACTCTCCCACCATAATTTTGGGTGACCCAAGCATACGTCGCACATCTACTGTAAAATATCTCGGCTTTTATAGCTCACAATTTAACTTGGTCTACACATGTTCTAAAAATGTCTAAAAAAAAGTCAGGAGGCTCTCATTTTACGCCCTCAGGGTTAAAATCATTTCCGTTCCCCGTGCTTGAATTCAAAACTATGTAACTGCATGTATTCTCCCTCAATGGCTATACTGTTCTCCTGTTATTCTCTCAGGACTGCTTCAAAAATACTATGTCCTTGTCCGTCAGCTAAAATTTGTTTCTGGCTGCTTGGGTTTATGGAAAGAAACGCTCACAGATTTTCTTGTTAACAAACATTTTGATGCTTGCAACAATTTTACGTTCACGATTTTAAATGACCCCTTTCACCCTTTACATACTATCCTATCAAGCACTATAGCAACTTCATCCACAGGGTCAAAATCTAAAATTTTATATTCTCGTACTTCATCGTATCGAAACGCTATCCTGCCTTTTAAATCTCGTTTACTAATCGATCCAACAGGAATGGAACGCCGCTTTCGTGACGGTATGTTGTTAAATATTTTTTCTCATTGATGCTTTGTTGTATCATACCGCAGCGTTGGTGTGAAAATGCTGAAAATGCACCCATACTGGTGGATAGAGCTAAACTTGACTTTGACTTTGCTTGATGACGTAATTGAGCCATCAAGCAATTAGCTAGGCTAAACTGAAGCAGATTCCTTGTTGAGCATTCATGAACGTTACTCAGGTCACGATGAAGGAAACTGGGATCTCGTTGGTACTAATCGCTTGACGTACATTGATATTATCGATCTAAATCAGAAAATTCGTGGTGTTAAATCTTGCGATATCATTGACGAACAACAGGGATAATCGTGGACCCAGAATGGAATCACGTGGAACACCACATTTCACCTCGATCGGGTCGAAAAATGATCCAAGTGCACGCAATTGTAGCTTCTGCTGCCGAAGGGATTTGCCGATCTAGCCATGGAAATGATTTTTCGTTTCGCAGCTCTACAGCTCACGAAGCAGGCGGTCGAAAGTCCCGATAGAGGTCATTCGCTGCTGACAAATGTGCGATGTCCCATAAGTGAGTTTTGACCCATAGCTGCATGACTCTGGACGGTAAACCACTTAATCTCTATCATAAGATACGAAACCTGGGATTGCGATATTCATGTCACTTAACTTGTCTGAAGAATTAGGTCATGTTACCAGGAGGGGAAGACGGAGAAATGGCTAGATATATATGGCTATAATATTATTTGAGATGCATTGCATTGAAATAAGTACAGAGAGCATTCACAAAGCGTTTTCTAGGTTCTTCTTCAAAAGTGACATATTGTGAACGATGTGATAAGCTTAAGTGTAACCCGCTCTTGCTACGGCGCATGAAGCAGAAGTTCAACATGACTGATGCAATTAGCCTTTTACAAGATGACATAAACAGAACTCAGTGGCGGAATGCAAGTCTAGGACCAGGATCGATGAACAATTTTCCACAAACCAGCACTCGGAATACGTGCCGCATAGTGGAACACGATTTTTGCAAAAGCATTAACAAGTTATTGATTGTACAGAACGTGACAAAACTGTTTGATTGCTCAATAACAACAAGTCAAGTGTACAAGTAGGATCCACGTTTCATATGACACGGTACACACATCGCCCCATACTCTCTCCCATGAGTTATCTAGATTACAACTAGTTATCAGAGAGAGCGGCTAAAGGTCAGTTAACATCATAGTCATGATGAGGTAATTCAGTGAAAGGTATTAGTAGTAAGCCGAGGTGCAGCAAAGATGCTTCGCCAACACGCGACCATTAGACACGCGCAAACTAGGGATACTGCTAGGTCGCGCCGAACTGCGCATATTCGCACCGGTGACATTTGTGCTTTAGGGCAGACGCCCCATGCATTTGATCATCCGACGACGAGAACAAAGTCGAGGACAACAATCATTAATGGTTCACTTATCACATAGTAAAACCAAGTCAAGTTTAGGATTTCTGATAAAAAACGCTCGAGCAGCCACATCGGAGGTTGAAGGTGAGCTTGCGTTCAAGCAAGTTCTTGTAGTGGCTTTTCATCTGAAGATCCATGTTCCGTTTGCTGATACGAGTTTTAGTGTTACTCTAATACGAGTGACCTCGGCAAAGCCGGATTAAACGTGAGCAGATAAAAACCGCGATAGTCAGTAAATCTAATGTATAAGACGTAGATGACCATTGTTGTTAGAACGTAATCAGGGGGCCAATGTAAGCGCATGCTTACACGAAAGTTCACCGCGCAGACATGACTTCAGTGTTAGAGAACATGATGGAAGCATTTGATGGAAGACTGACCAAAATGTGAGGTATTAACAGTAGTAGAAGAATCTGGTGATTGATTCGCTACTCCTCTGTAAACGTTACCTATGTGATGTGCTGTATGACATGAGATCGCACAAAGGCGACAGCTAATGGTAAATTAGTGTCGTTCCAACATTAAGTGTAGCAACATATGCTGTGGCGTTGCAACCGTGATATGTACATATTTATTACGTACATAATCAGCCGGCCAGTAGAATTATGGATGACAAGCCTGTCTTGTAATCGGAGGGCACGGGTTCAAGCCTGTATAGGAGACAGGGCGACCCTCGCAATATCCTTAATCCAGGTGCGACTAGTGGTGGCTGCGCGGCAGCATAAGCAACAAGTAAGGAGATATGCAGCAATCGAAAGAGCATCTACACAGCAGCTTACTTACTTCATTACGATGAGATTGTTATGTGAACGGTCAAAGAGGCTACTTACGGATTCATGTGGATCATGTCTGTCGTTCCAATAATACTCTTTGGGAATTCGTGCGGCTTGCGTCAAATATCTAATAAGCTGTGAAAAAACATCCGATTAAAGCTTGTGCTTAACTTACTCGGAGGGATGATGAAAGGTGCCTATTGGAAGCGAAAACCAACATGGTCCACAACAGAGCCTGCAATATGCGTCCGGTCGAGTATTCCGATGGCTTCCGTGTCCAATGCGTAAAGAGGTTGTAATGGACCTAGGGTCTGAAAAACAAAGCAAATACAGTATAAGCATTTGCAACTGCGCATGTGCGGAATTATCACAACCACATAGTATGAGACCGAACTGGACGTAATATGAGTTTAAATGACACTTCGTAAAGAACTGGATGCTGTTTTAAGAAATGCTGAGAGATCCAGACTGAGCTGAATGGAAGGAGAGAACATACACAAGCGATGACTGGTCTAAAAAGGAAAGTAATGCTCACGGAAGAAAGGGAATCCGATCTACAACAAGTGAGGTCTAAAAAAGATATTTCAAGGAATCTGCGGGTTATTCAGTAAAGATAATGGAAAAATGAGTGTATTTAAGAGGAATAATAAAG